ACAAGGGCCATCCAGGCCGCATCTACGCCTTTCATTCCTAAATCCCTGCTACTGCAAGATTCGTTGTTGTTGCGTCCCTTCAAGTCATTTCCGACTTATGGCATCCCTATCATGGGGGTTTTTTGGCACGGTTTGTTCAGAGGAGGTTTGCCATTGCCTTCCCCTGAGGCTGAGAGAGTGTAACATGCCCAGGGTCACACTGTGAATTTCATGGCTGAGTCTTTGTTGTCGTTGTTGTGTACCTCCAAGTCATTTCCGACTTATGGCGACCCTAAGGCAAAGCTATCATGGGTTTTTCTTGGCAAAGTGTGTTCAGAGGAGGTTTGCCATTGCCTTCCCTCTGAGGCTGAGAGAGTGTGACTTGCCCAAGGTCACCCAGTGGGTTTCATGGCTGAGCTGGGATTCAAACCCTGGTCCTCCAGAGTCATAGTCCAATACTCAAACATCAGACCACACTGGATAGTGCAAGATAGTAGATAGTAAACATATGCTGAGAATGAAGTCACGCTACAGAGCTCTTTTTCCACAGTCCTAATTGTAGCATTGTGATGCCACTTTTAACGGCCATGGCTGCATCTTATGACATCCTGGCGTTTGTAGTTTGGGGTGAGATTTCTGGCTGAGAATTCAAAATTTGTTGTCACCGTGTGCCCTCAGATCTCAAACTGCGTCCAACTTATCTAGACCCTTATTATTGTTGTTGTTGTTATTATAGTATTTATTTGTATCCCACTTTCCCCCAAAATTGAGACTCAAAGTGGCTTTCAGTCTAAAAACACAAGACAGTTAAAAACTTACAAAAGTGACAACTAAAATGTTGCCTTTTTTTCATTGAGGTTTTCTCAGCAAGGTTTTGTTCAGAGGGTTTCTTGCCATTGCCTTTCTCTGAGGCTGAGAGAGTGTGACTTGGACGAGGACACACAGTGAGTTTCTCTGGTGTAGCAGGGGTTTAAACCCTGATACCCCTCCCTAAACTACAGATCCCAAGATGCCATAGAATGTAGCCATGGGAGTTAAAGTGGAGTCATAGTACTCCAGCACCCTGATTTTTTTCTCTTCAGCACCCTGATTTTTTGAGGAAGGGGATTGTTAGACAACTGGGAGGCAGAACTCTTTGTTCATTTGCTGCAAATTAACCAGACAACTAGATAATCTAACTTCTGCTCATCCCTCCAAGCTCAGGGCTGAATACAAGAGTACCCCAAAACTGTAAACCTGCATCTTCAGGGGGAGTGTAACCCCCTGTAACACAAGCTGAATACTTATTTCCAGATCTGTAAAGATATATTTTTAAAACAATAACCAATAGAGCAGTCATAGCAGTCACAAAGGGCTGGGTTTCTTTCTATAAGCTGGGTTTTGTTCCAGGACCCCCCAAAATCTGTGGATGCGCAATAACATTAAATACAGTGACATAGTGAAATGGTATTGCAGGCATTGCATGATGATTATTTGATGTTTTTAATTTGTTGCCGTCTTTATATTAATATGTATTATTTTATTATTTTGTAGAATGTACTCCATTGGCAGGCTTTCTTTATCTATTTTTATCTATTTTATTGACTGTATGTACAGCGCTGTGTAAATCTACAGTGCTATATAAATACAGCGTAATAATAATAAAATAATAATAATATAAAACAGTTGAGAGCCAGCATGGCGTAGTGGGTTGAGTGTTGGACTACAAATCTAGAGACCAGGGTTCGATTCCTATCTGGGCCAAGAAACCCACTGGGTGACCTTGGACAAGACACATGCTCTCAGCCTCAGAAAATGGCAATGACACACCTCCTCTGAACAAATCTTGCCAAGCAAAAGCCATGATGGGTTTAATTTAGGGTTGCCGTAAGTTGGAAATGCCTTGAAGGCACACATAACAATATAAAATGGTAAAATCAAGCTTTGCTTTGTGGAATGTACATTTCTTTTGGAATATTTTCAAGCCATGGATGGTTGAATCTGTGGATATGGAGGGCCAACTGTAGCCAGGTTTGGTTAGAGGCATGCCCCGTTAAGTTCAGTGGGGCTTAACTCATGGGCATGTGTTACAGGGCTAAGGCCTGTCCCTTCTCCCTGACACATGAAAGTGTGTAAAATGTGTGTAGGAGTGTCCCAGTGTGAGAATCTGGTTGGCACTCAGAAGCAATATGGTCCACCAAAGGGATGCACCATCTTGTTCGCTGGGTCTTCGTGGCTTCCCTCTGTAAACTACTATATATACTCATGGATAGGTCTAAACATTTTAGCCCAAAATTGGTCCCAAAAAAACTAAGTTGGCTTCTCCATGGGTCAATGTAAGTATTGTACTTTTAACTCTTATTTAAAAAGGAGCCATCCTCTGGTGAAAGGCAAGAGTGTAATCTGTCCTGGAAGCACTGACCCCTTCTTCTGCTTTCTTGTCCATCCATCCTTTTTGTGTGAGCACAAACCATATGCCTGCTGGAATTTTGTATGTTCTTTGGCATTTCCCCCCCCCCTTTCCTTCATCCTTCAGATCAGTGGTTCCCAAACTCTGGTCCTTCAGTTTGTTTGGACTTCAGCTCCCAGAAGCCCCTGCCAGCTTGGTCAATAGTCAGGAATTCTGGGAGCTGAAGTCCAAAAAATCTAGAGGACCAACATTTGGGAATCACTGCTTTAGATTCTTTGTTACATGCCTCTAAGTTTTGTTTGTTGTTACCGGCCCTCAAGTTGATTTTGACCCATGGCAAGCCTATGGCTGAGACATCTCCAAGACCCTCTGTCCTCCTGCTCTGCTTAATTCCTGCAACCCTTTAATACCAATGACCTCCTTAATAGAGTCCATCCATCTGGCATGTGGTCTCATCCTACTTTCCTCTACCTACTTTCCTCTACCTTCCCCAGCATTATTGTCTTTTCCAAAGAGTCCTCTCTTCTCATGATGTGTCCAAAGTATGACAGCCTCAGTTTGGTCATCTTGGCTTCCAGGGAGGTTTCCAGATTGATCTCCTCTAGGAGACATTTGTTTGTCCTTTTGGCTGTCCATGGGATCCTCTGCACTCTTCTCCAGCACCACATTATCTCAAAGGGATTGATTTTCTTCCTATCCTCTTTCTTGACTGTCCCACTCTCACATCCATTCATGGTAATAGGGAATACAATGACTTGTATGATTCTAGCTTTTGCGCTGAGTTGCATATCTTTGCATTTTAGGATCTTTCCTAGTTCTTTCATAGCCACCCTCCCCATTCTTAGTCTTCTTCTGATTTCCTGACTGCAGTCCCCTTTTTTTTATCAATGTTTGATCCCAGGTATGTGAATTCTTTTACTATTTCTATTTCTTCATTGACTTGGTTGAACTTGTGGAGGGCCTCGGTGGTCATTATTTTTGTTTTCTTTATGTTCAGCATTAAGCCTGCCTTTGCACTTTCTTCTTTGATCTTCCTTAGTAGGTATTCCAGGTCTGTGAGGTTTTCTGCTAGTTACCCTTGACTTATCCATGAGTCATAGCAAAATCCATAATTTTGGCCCCAAAACCTGCCCTTGCCTTATACATGGAGTCAACTTATAGTCAAGTATTTACAGTACCTACCTTGCACAATACATTGGGCCCTTGCTATCTGCTGAGGTTTGGTTCCAGGACCTCCCATGGATACCACAATCCATGGAAGTTGAAGTCCCATTAAATATAGTGGATAGTAAAATGATGACCCTATATAAAATGGCAAAATGAAAATTTGCTTTTTGGAATTTACATATATTTTTATATTTTTTTCAAGTCATAGATGCTTGAATCTGTGGATAAAAAAATCCATGGATATGGAGGGCCAGCTGTAATGCATATTTGTTGCAGACATGTTCTCTTACAAATGTTGCACACACCGTCTAGTAAAGAGATGCTTGATTGAGACAGAACTGTTATTTTTCTGAGCTTGCTCAGGCTTTACCAATGCTTTGTTCGCAAGGAACGCTGCTAACTTAACTTCGTAGTGGTTAATCATTGGCACAGACCATAAAATTCACCTTTGATCAGTAGCAAGGCCATTAGTTGCAACCAAAGCTGGCACCACTACCCCTGGTTTATCCAGAGGATTTGGGAAAGGGATGGGCATTTGCTTTGAACTCCTGCCTGATACACAGCTCAGGGTGATGTAAGACTTGTACCCCAAATCCTCCTTGCATGTTACCGAACCCAGGAGAGGGGGATCCTCTCATGCAACGCTAGTCATCGAAGGTGGCACAAAAAAGGAAAAATGCTCACACTATTTTCTATGCCTGCTCCAGACCTCAGCATTTCATTCTGCTCATGACTACTTAGTATAAGAGGCCTTGTAAGATGCAATGGCTCAAGTGGTTAAGAAACTGACTCTGTTGATTGCAAGATCGGCAGGTTGGCAGTTCGAGGCCCGGATACTACATGATGGGGTAAGCTCCCGTCACTAATCTCAGCTTCTATAGCAGTTTGAAAGCATGCAAATGCAAGTAGATAAATAGGTACCACTTTGGTGGGAAGGTAAACAGCGTTCTGTGCAATCATGCTGGCCACATGATCACAGAGTAGTCTCTGCCAACGCTGGCTCTTCGGCTTAGTAACGGAGATAAGCACCGCTGTCTATGGTCAGAGATGACTTGACAACTCTGTCAGTGGGGAATACCTTTACCTTTAAGTGCCTGTCTGCTTGCCAACTATCTTCTTCCCCTTGCTTTCTGCTTTGGTGCCCACTTATGTGCTACCCAGTTTGATGAGACACAAATTGGTGGTCATTGTGCCTCTATGCTCTCTCTACCCACTGTAGTAAGAAAGAAAGATAGATACAGAGCTTACATGCTCCCACTTCACTGAAAATAGTGTTGTGGCTGTGTGTGCGTACTTTTGCTGCCTGCTTCATTGAGAAAGAGAGATTACCGTATTTTCCGGCGTATTAGACGACTTTTTGACCTTGAAAAGC